AAAGTGGCGAAAGTTGTTGTTATTATTGGTATTGTGGATATTATTGGTGGTTCGATGAGATTTGAAAAAATTTTTATACGACGAAGGCTTCTTACATTATTCTCTCCACTTGTTTATATTATCTGTTCGCGTGTTCGTAAGAATATTGGAGATAAATTTCACCTTACTTTCCTTGAAATTTTGTATTTGTTTCGATGGATTAGGATTAACATCGTGCAAAATTCTTAAACGAAAACGTGAAGATAGAAGTGGAATAATATAACAATATTAACAAAATTAATTGTGTTTATTAATAAATGAAGGTTATTAAAAATTGTATTTGGATAAAAGTGGAATTAAATTGAAAAAAAAAAAAAATACGAACGAATTTCGTTCATCTCGGGATTACTTCGTAATACACCCTATATAAAGGGGCAAGGGGTGGATTTTCTTCACGGGTTCGGCGTATACTTGTAAATCTGTATTAAAGGGTTCCCAGAATGACCACCAGGTTGACATTATCGGGAAAGTATTGGTTTCCATTGGATTTATGGCGCGTACTATGCCGTGAATAATTATGAGTCGGAAAGGGCAGAACAAACAAGAAAAGATTTAAGGCTCGGCCAACCCTCGCTGTAATTTTTGTCTGGTTTCGTACGGCTTGTGTATTTCCCTTCGTTCCCGAATTTCCCCTTCGTAATGCTCGATACTTTATCCTACCCTCTATTAATGCGTTAAATAAAATAGCCGAGCGTTAATTGCCTATTTCACGCATAGTATTTTTATATATACCATTTCGTGTATCGATATATTTCTATTAAATTAAATTACGATGTTAATCATCTAAAACGTCGAATCCAATTCTACGTAAAATCACGAACAATGAATATAATTACTTAGAAATTGATTTCCACTATATACGAAGAAATATATAAATTACAACGTATAAAGCCACCACCATCCCACAATAACCCCAACTTGTATATCTTTACAGGAAAGAAAGATCATCTTTCAGCTTGCCCATTCATTCGACGTTGCAAAGATGTTGCAATTATAACAAGCCTCGACTGGCCCTTGTCTCTTCACCCTTCACGAAAGGGCGTCATCGTGACCACACCACATTGGAAGACCCATAGAATTAGTACAGGGACTTCCGGGGCGTCATTTAAACTACAGAACCGCGGCGATGAGGCCACTCTATATGCAGAGATTCCGTTAAATTGCAAACGGCCATTTTCCAAGGTTGAGGGGAGAGAGGGGGAGAGACAAAAGGGAAGATCCTCGTCACTCTCGAGTAATCGCAACGGTTAACTCGATCCTGGAAACGTTTACGAGACGACAGCTTGTCCCGATTTTCTTACACCCTGGAGAGATCTGCCCTGGATCATCCTCTTTCCAGGGATAAATTGATTAATTCGAATCAATTTATTCGATTCATTTGAAAAAAATTCGAAGAGTATTAACGATTATTAAAAGAGATCGATCTTCGTCAATATCGATGCGACGAAAGTGTAGAAGGTATTCAAACTCCGATAAGAATAAATTCTCAACAAAAATAATATATCCTTATTAATCTCGATCAGGAATGAGAATAAAAAATGAGAATAAAAAATAGAAAATGGAATGAGATTTCTATGAAGGGTGGAATAAAGCGAATAAAGTTGAGCAAGGAGGGGTGGGTGCGTTCGAAACCGAGTTTCACACCTTTGGTCGAAATTGAACCGTCGCGTCAACATCAGACGACGACAAAGGAGCGTCGCGACGTCGACGCAAATTTCCTCGACGCTCGTGCGTCGTCGCTTTGGACGAGGTTACTATACACACACACACACATACTACACCCTCTCCTCTTTTCCTCTTTCCTCTCGCGAAACGATCGTAATTTCGACTAACAGCTGCTCGCCCCGACGCCTCAACGAGACACGAAACACCCTTAAATCAAGATCTTGCCTAAACACGACCGTTTCAATAGTTCGTTCTCGTTCTAGAAATAGACGACTCTTCCACGCGTATCAAATTCGTTTTATGTTGCAACAAGCCCGTGAAAATCGTGAGAGGCCCTCGATTATTACTGGTTAAAGATGAATCTGTTTTATTACGATGGAATGAAAAAATATTTCACATTATCTCACTTTATAATTTTTCTTCTGAATTCATTGTTACACGAATATGCGTATATACTTGGAATTTGCAAAAGAATTGAATCACGATCAAATAAAGGTTTTCGTTATTCGATAATTATTTTCTAATAACGAAACTAGTATCAAGAAAATAAGGAGCCACGAATTATTTCCAATACTATAATAAAGATCCAAGATCTTTTCATTGAGCCGCTCGAATGATACGAATCCCGAAAAAGGGATTTTCGTTTCTCCATATTCCATCAAAATTCTTCTTTCGACTTCGATTAATCGTAATAATCATGTGTTCATCGCAGAGGGAGATTTAATAGACTTTCAACGCGCGAAATATGATAGCACACGGAACAAGGATGTCCTTTGGAGAAACGGGAGCCACTTATTCGAAAGGGAATTACCCGAAAGACGACAACGGAGCTCTCCTCTTTGGTGTCGGAATACTTTGGTGAAACATTCGTGTTCTCTAAACGCGGACGGCTCAGGTTCCACCAACCCCCTTCCAACCCCTTTCCTTCTCCTCCTTCTCCCCCGTTCCGATGCGGAGGCGATGCTCGACTCGCGCTCGACTCTTCCTTCAAAACGGGTTACCCATAAATCTGAATGAACTTGAGAGGATTTACGGATCATTTATACACGTTGGTGGAAACGTTGGGAAGATTAACTCGCGAAATGAAACGTGGAGATACGACGCGGCGGATTTGTGGCGTGGGAAATATCGAGTTTGTTTAATTGGAAGGATTTCACGAGCTGCTTGCTGATTTATCGCGAGATTCGGGTGATCGATCGACCGCCATTTTCACGCGGATTTTTCTCGAGAAATAAATTTATAATTCCCAATTTAATCTTGAAGATATTCAATCAGATTCGAGAAATATCGATCGGTGTCGACAATAAAAAAGAACGATTGGAAAATGATATATATATATATATATATATATATATAT